ATTAAGTGTCGGTCTGAACATGGTATAGCATAGGCTGTTCTTACGGCCGTTGATGATTTATAAAAAAGACGTTTTTGAYATTGAAAAATTTACATTGTTTAATATTTATTAAAAGAAGACATCGTGATGATGTATTTCGTTATAAAAGTCGTCTAGTTTCCGKTTAATGGAAATAATGGACGTTTTCATTGATTTGGGAAGTCAATTACCAAGTGAATTCAAATGCTATCACGTCTCTTAAATAGGTGGTTTGCCAATATCAGATTATGGACTTTTGGCACGTAAGCCTCCATAGTAGATGTCTGAATACTTGGCTCATTTAAATCTGAGCTTATGAAAGTCTAAGGGAATGTGCTGTTCGATTTTCAACCTCTTGCAGTAGTGTGAGCATGTGTTATAATCTATACGCTGACTCCATAACGTATACCAAAGATAGCTCTTGGTTTTGTTATATTTAACATTACAAATTACATGCGTTTGTTTTTTATTTCCTTTGTGGGTTTCCCTAGAATCGATGTTTTTGTCTCGATTAACATATGCTTGGGAGCAAGATGTAGACACTTTTGTATGTAATATAATATGATGCTATTTATATCGATTCCGTCTGCTCAAGCCCAGCAGGAAATGTGACCGTGACATTGTRAGCGGCATAATAAGAATGCTTTCGTAGCTGTGAACCGCCCAGAATGTCTTACCTGGCTTGTTGGAGATGACTGATTTAATATTATTTTCGTGTCGAAAAATTCAAATCAATTGTTGTCATTGCGTACGTTTATTGTCTGCTACACTCGCCGCCCACCCCCTGTCTCTGGCCACATTTATTATCGTTTAAGCGTGAATGACACTTCCGCTTTGATGTGAGGCCACAAATGTTGCTGTTGGTGTTTRTAGGTGGGCACAGTGTGGAGCCTGTTTGAGTCCTTATGCTGCCAGTGGCACTAATGATTTATTTGTGTGGGCGCTTTGCTACATAACAGCTTTTAGCGACGTCAGCAAGAACAGCAACAATAATAATAGTAACGGCAACAATGAAACCAATAATATAAATTACAACCAATGTGCCTTTTCCTCTTCACTGATTTGATTTGTCTTCTTTCCATATCTYTGTTCGGTGTGCCTTGTGAACGATTTCTTTTTCACACCATTTCGTTTTTTTTTCTGCATTTKCCTCGCCAGTCAGCATGTAAATACACGAGTATTTTGATTTGGCAATAAATTTCGAATAGACGCAGACGCACGGGCCTCGCGCCTAAATATTTATTGATTGTTTTCGACTTGTTTTTCTTCGTTTTTCGCACTCATTTCATATGGAAGGCAAACCGATGGCTGATTTGTAATAAATGGGCGCATTAAAGCGCGCAAGTTGCAGGATACTTAAAGTTAATAGGCAATTTAGGAAGCACTGATTTGCATGGATGGTATATAGATTTATGCAAGTTGGAGACGAACGCTTAAGCAGATGTTAAACAAATTTTATTATCGATAGAATTTTTTAATTTATGTGCTAAATAGATCTGCGCCGGTTAGGGTAACTCTGTTGTAAAAATAAAAATAATAAAACAAAATTAATTTATGYAACTTTTAAGGATGTCTGAATTTGTGTAGTGGATTATTCAGAAAAAAACGGGGGCTGCCTTTTCGACTAATAACTGTAATTCAGAGTGTCTCATAAAMAGTTGAGAGAACAGCTACTATTTGCGAAATACCGGTACTATATCAGGATTATAATAACATGTAGGTTTTGATCGGTGATCAGTTAAAATGCACTGGCTTAAGCAAATAGCTACTAYGGTTCTCTTCCCCGAATCATGGAGAACTTTTCAGTACTTTGGCAAGCGAGCACAATTTAAAAGAACATCACATTACTGAGGTTCTGACTGACGATCTGGTACTGTGACTCAAATTTCCTTATAAAGGATCGCAAATTATTTGTGGGATTATTGCTGGTAGTAAAACTTCGTCGCCGAGTCTTGGCACCCCGACGGAAATGAAGGAGGATGTGATCACAGATGTCTTCTAAGAGCGCTTGGAGCGCACCTATRAGAGCTGCCCTGGCAACGATCGTGTTGAGCGACTGCAACGCCAGCATGGACAAAGAAGTTTCCTTTGGCACAACCCAAATGGGTTGAGGCTGATCGACTTCGGTGTGCGGATCGATCATGCTGTGGTAGACAGAAGGCATGTCTACAGAGTTTTAAACGTGTGTTCGCTCCAAGACCCTATCATCGACTCAAACCACTACTTCTTGCAGCCAAGATACGCACCCGCCCCTGTGCAGCGAAAACCGCACGTCARCAAACACAAAAAAGGTTGGACGTCGAAAAGCTTCAATCACAATGGACAGCCGAATGATTTTCTACTCGACTTGCACCCCTGCTATTGGAGAGCACATCAGCAACTTGGTATAAGGGAACTGTGGGTCGGTATTTCAAGCTTCTTATGTACCGCTGCAAGTGAAATCATACGTTTTCGGAAAGGTCGAAGAAACGGGTAATGAAGAATGTCGTATTTTAGTGATACGCATATACGACAGGATAAGGTTCGGAAACTCTACGAAAAGATGCGGCGACTAGCAAAAGGTTTCAATACCGAAGCATATTCTTCTAGAACCCTCAGAGGTGATCAGTGTCTGATGTTYAGAGCATACTGCACATCCTGAGGGAACATTTCTCCAGCATGAACGCAACGAAAGTGTAGTGTAACGTGGAACAGAGGTGTGCTCTGCCCAATCCACAAAAAGGATGACCCTAAAATCTTGCCAATTGTCGTGGAAGAAGCCGTTTTAATAGCGACATATAATAATCATATAACGTCTTATCGATTGTACCTGGAGCGTGTGAAAGACTGAAGCTCAACGTCAACAAACTAATAGGACCTTATCAGTCCTGCTTCAGACCCTCAAAATCTACTATCAAGCAGTTCTGTGGAAGGAAGATCGATACACACCACTTCTACATCGCCGTATTCGACAGAATGAAGAGGCGTTACCTTTATGCCGCTATGTCTCCATTTGTTATATGACTTCATAAATCTRTTTCTGGAGAAAATATTATCAGCTGCAGAGCAAAATAGAGAAGATACAATATTTTATARGGGTAAATAGATTGATATCATTGGCTTCAATAACCATGCCGTTAGGTCTGCTTTCTCCAGACTGGATAACGTAATATCTCCTGCTGTCAAACAAAGAGTCAGCGCGTTCGCAAATTGGATTACAAGTCACTATTGACGGTCTCAATCTTTAAGTTGTTCGAAATTTTGTCTATCTTAGGCAGCATCAACACCAACAACAATTCATCCTTGAAATCCTCTTCGGACTAAGTGGACAATTGAAAACTCTGTAGGTCACTTATTATTACCGGACTGCTACATGGTGCAGAGGCATGGATCATSGCAACATCTGATGAGTCGACGTTACGACGTTCTGCGAAAGAYTTATGGTTCTTTGCGTAATGGCCAGTACGAATACCGCATTGGATGGAACGATGAGCTGTATGAGATATACAACGCCATTGGCATAGTTCAGCGAATCAAGAGACAGCGGCAGCGCTAGCTAGGTCCTGTTGTCCAGATGTAAGAGAACAGACCCGCTTTGAAGGTTTTCGATTCAGTAYCTGCCGGTGAAAACAGGAGAAGAGGAAGGCCTCCACTCCGTTGGAGAGATCAGGTAGATATGTATATGGCAGACACCTGGCTTCGCTTGGAATATCCAATTGGCGCCAAATAGCGAAAAGAAGAAACGACTCGCTACTTTATAACTACATAAGCGGTGCCTATGCAAGTATAGAACAATAATATATGTTATATAATTATAGAGTTATATATAGTTTGAAATATTTCCCAAGCAATGTTGAAGAAAATCCGGCTATTGGCCTTGTGTGGARTTTAATATCATTTCGAATAGACTAGTTAGAGACAAATTAAAACATTATAGCGACCGCACTTAAATTGCCATCAATTTGCTGTAATTTATGTAGTCATGTTTGGCTTAGCTTAGTGTTCTGTAGACTAACCTCAGATATTTCAAGTATAAAAATGGGTATGCGGCTCTGCCGTAAACACTTAGATTTTCATGATATTAGTCAGTCAATTAAGAAGTATATCAAATCAATATATTTCAAATAGTGAAAGAAATTGTTATGTCTGTTATGGAGAACTGTTCTTATTCGATAAAACTRACGAAGGAAATTTACATATGCATTGTCACAAAGAAAAAAAAAAAAATAAAAAATTTAGTTTGAGGAAAAAGAAAAAATCACATGGAGCCAAATTTGGTAAATGTGATGGTTGATCGATGGTACTCATTGCATTTTTTGGCTTTAACACACGGTCACAAATGCGGGTTGATGTGAGAGTGCATAATCCATGAATTGTTCTCCCACATTTCTGGTTCTTTTCGAAGTAGACACTCCAAATAAAACTCCTATTGACCGTCTGTCCCTCCAGAAAAAATTCATGATATACCAAACCACGAAAAATAGATGCACCTTGGTTATTGGGCGGGTTTGGCTAGTTTTTTGGTTTCGGGTCATTTTTTCCGATGATTGTTCACTTGCTTGCACGTTAAACTCATAAGCTATGTCTCATCGGTAGTTATAATGAATGTGGGATCGGAATTCGCACGATCAATTAAGAGCAAAGAGACGGTATTCTTTTAGTAAAAAAATCGGGTTTATCGGGACGAGTCGCGGGAGAACGCGCATGATACCCAAAATATCCACCAAAATCATTCGAACGGACCCGCGAGAGATTTCGAGCTCTCTTGCCATCTCTCTAACACTTTCCTGACGACCATATTATTTCACAATATAAATTATTGTTTTARTTTAAGGTTTAGTGCAGCGATTTAGTATGGACTTTWCTAAACTSAAAGKAATTCAATTTGCCACCGGTAATATWTAGATCTGACGATATGTATATGTGATTATAAATCATAGATATGTACATAKGTATGTTATGTTTGAATATTCATATGGCGATTCGTTGGTAAATTTACTTACCGCCCACTGTCATGTTGGCCGTTTTATCGATCAATTTGAATTCGGGCGCATCACCGGATACCTCGCACCGATACGAACCGGACGAATGGACATTCAGTTTCTCCAGCTCGACATTGCAGATGAATTGATTGCAGTGCGATGAGCCATCAGCAATGGTGACACCTTTGACGGGAAACCAATTTGTAGTTGGCGGCGTGAGCGGTGAATATCTGAAAGCAAAAAAGAAGTAACTACTACAGTACAACAAAATTTGTTAAAATTGTAAGTGAGAAAAACGTAGGCAAAGAAGTGAATGACTGACTGAACGATTGAACGAATGTATGTAGGTAAGTATGTAGGTGTGATGTAGTTGTAGGGCTGGTGTCCGTGCATTTATGCTTGGGTGCATAAATGACTGCTGGAGTAAGTGAATGACTGATTGCCTGCATGATTAATGACTACATACCCACACACACACACTTATGCAAATATCCACTTCTACCTGCTCTCTGACTTGAGTGGAGAAGTTGGCCAAATGCTGTGAAAATTGCCCAGTCAGCACTACGAAAATTGATGTCATTTCAACATCTCTTCCTCACATTATACGCCATCAGCCTCCATTAGAGCGCCTCCTCGCCCACACACTGATGATGAATGAATGCATAAGAAAATTTGCATTCAAAAGAGGAAATTGCATATAAAAAATAGAGAAACCGTGTGCGCATGTGAGAATGAGTTCAAAAAAATCAAAAAGCTAAGCGTTAAAAAGAGTTTTTGTTTCTGTTGCAAATGACTTTGGAAATTTTTCGATGGCGAGGGGTATAAAATTAACTTCATGAAAGGCTGCAGAAATCCGAATTCGATTGCTTGCGGAAATATGCAAATGATTTGCACATTTAAAAACCTTTGTAATAAAAGCATGGAGTATATTAGATTAGGTATATTTTGTAGAACAACTTCGGCATACGGCCCCATCACTTAAGCTTTGTTAAATGAGAGTGCCATTTTCATCGTGTTTCGATGCCCCTAATTCAATGCTTTCGCTGTTAGTATGAATTAAAACCTGATAAATTCCATTAGAACAATAAAAATATTTACAATTAAATTCGAGATGTATATTAGGTTAAATAAAAATATATAGGATTGAACTATACTTAAAATKTAACTTATTGAATATGTCAAAAACTGCAGTAATAGGTGTTAAGGTTGGTTGTAGAGCCTTGCTGGAAGGAAGTCGCTAGTCTGTGTGTCAGAATCCTGAAAGTGATTGTCATTTTTGCTTGGCATTAACAGGAAGATTTCCGAAAATAAAATTCAAATAAAACAATATATCTGAACATCTCATCTGCAAACAGAGCATTCCCGCATGGTGAAGGAACTTTATTTTCAATACAGCTAACATAATATCGAGCATAGCAAAATTACAGATTCAACTGCCCAGAGTTGGTAATTCGTGCAACTTTGTGTCGGTTTTGCACCACGTTTATTCTWGTTGATAATGCGCATTTTCAGAGACGACAAGCAGTGCGCAATGAAGACGATATTTCTGCTGTGGAACGAGTATCGAAGAAGATCCGAATGAGTCCATCCGCTATCGCGCGAAAATTGGAGCTGTGCCCATTCACTTTATGRAAGATTCTAGTTTGGAAGGATCTTGTTATGGAGGCTTATATAATCCAAATGGTGTAAGTATTGAAATCGAATGACCCTCGAACGCGTCGCAAATTCGGTGAATGGGCTCGAAACGAAATCGCCAGTTATTATTATTATTTTTGCCACAAAATTGTCTTCAGCGATGAAACTTAAGACCTGGCTACACTTAGAATCTCCAATTGACGCCAAACATCGAAAAGGAAACACGACTGGCGCGCTGTTGTAAACTAAGCTATTACAGCGTAAGTGGTTTCTACGCCATTAAATAAGAAGAATTATGAACCTACGTTTGGTATTGTAGAAATTTCAGGATATTATTACGCCTCGAACTCAGAGTTTGTCGAGGAGTGCCCAACCAATCGAGTGCCTTTGTGATAAGACTAGTATGGGTACCAGGCSATACCGGAGGATGCTTTAAAGCTGAACTGCTATCGGTAGAATGGGAGCGGGTCGGYGCTTCTGTATCCATTTGTGTCGCAAACGTGTTTTTGCCCTCAATAAGGCTTGCYTACGCTATTTGAAACAACTCAACACTTACTTCTTGACTCTTCCGTGTTTGAGAGGTCAAGGCTTGGGGGCGCATACCTTCAAASWTTTCACCGAACTGGCGAGGTTTGTTTCTTATTATAAGCTATGGCTTTAAAATGAGTGAAGTTCACGTGTGATCTTTGATCAGCTATCTTACATAATCGGTAAAGTAGGGCCCGATATATGTAAGGGTTTTCGACCATGCTCCGAGGCGCATTTTAGTAGTTTTAACAAAATTGCTGTAAGGAGATTGGGTTCCTTTATTATATCTTGAATGTTTTAAAACTTCTGTTTTCTGTGGCGTTTCCCACTTCAAAAAGAAAGTATTTCCACCATAATCAACTCGCCTTGGCCGAGGAACATGTGTTTCAAGTTTTTTTAAAATACTTTTTACTCAAGTTATTTTACTTGCAATGACAGATGGACGGACGGACAGTCACTCGAAATTCAACTCTTTTTGTCATCCTAATCATTTATATAAGTATATATCTCCATATCTAGTGACATAAATAATCGATAGGTGAGCAAAACTATTATACTCTGTAGAAACATGTCACAAATTTCTAAAAGTAAATGTGACTTTGATCCACGAGGCTTGGGTACTGTAGTATATGTGCATTTCTTGTAGTAATAAGAAATATGTATAGGTATAACTAAATCTAAAAAAGTTCTTCATAAACGGACTTTCTTTTGATCGATCAGTTTGTGGTAAGTAAAGTTACTTTTTTKAATAGCCTTTTTTGACAGATCACGCCTGAGTCGTGTCAGGCTGTTATTTTTGATCATTAGTGTTWGGCATTATGGTCCGTGTAATTGGCCTACTAAGCRTACTATTGGCAATATCATCACMCATCTGGGGATCCAGCATTCATTATTGGATAATGYTCGAGCGAATAGATGACGTCCAGCACGGAGTGAAGAAATTATAGCAGCCGTAGCTGAGAGTGTACACGAAGGCCATGGAGTGTCGATTCGGCTCCGCTCGCAGCAATTCGGACTGACGTTTGGAACGAGTATGTGCATTTTCCGTCGTGATTTTAAATTGTAAGCATATAAAGCTTGTGCAAGAACTGAAGCTGATCGACCTTCCCAAGCGACATCGCTTCGTTCTATGGGGTTTTGAAAAGTTCCAAGAAGATTCGACGTTTTCGAGCCAACTTTTGTTCAGCGATGAGTCCCATTTATGGATCAATGTAAATAAGCATAATTTTCGCTTTTCGTACGAAGAGCAACCGAACGAAATTCAAAGCCGCCATTTCATCTAGAAAAAACAACGGTTTGATGTGGTATGTGATACCTGAAATTGAAGCTCRTGATCTTGGCGATATTTGATTTCAACAAGACATAGCCCACACATCGCATCAATCAAGGGATTTATTTAAAGAGCACTTCGGTGAGCAGATAATTTCASGTTTTGGACCGGACCATCGTTATACTTWTACGCGAGAGATAACCTTCAAAAAGTAAATGACAAAAAATGTTCTTTCGAATGATAGTAAATATTTCCCATTAAATTTGAAGTTTATGTGTTTTTTTTTTTTTAAAGTAGGGAACCCCGAAATGAGGAACTAGTTTGCGAAAATACTTTTTTAGCAAACTATTGTGATTGGTTCATTTAACTTTAGTTATGCTATCTTAACAGCAAAAACATATAGGTGAGAAATTCTTGTAACCTCGATTTMTTGGTGAGTGAACAATCTCAAGCTTTTTTGAGAAAAGTTAGTTACTTGGGAATGCGTGAAAAATAAATTGCCTGTACCGAAAAAATAACGACCGATCGCGATTGCTCTTCTTACATAACTGAATTCTTTATTTCAGGAATTTTATGACTTAGCCTAAACCTTRACCTAACTGCTTAAACTAACGGGACGCGTAAGTATGCATTTCGTTACATTGTGGTAGAAAATTATGTTGAGTATATGAAACAGTATTATTAGGGTGAGTACTTTATATAAAATAAACTTTAACATATTAATTCAAATATTTAATATAAAATGTATTYATATACGTTAGTTTAGTATTATATTTAAAAATAGCATTTACGTTTAATAGGTGTCGCTTGACTCTATAAAAGTTGCGTGACCTTCAATGCTTTGGTGGAATAAGCACCCAAAAGGTGAAAGGAGTAATTTCAATATTCTGAGCCCCAGTCAATGCTTATGTAGCATACTTCTCTAAATTGGAACAAATTTCTTAATTAGGGACACTTTTAGAATTATTAACCGTATACAAATAATAACAATTTTTTAAAATTTGGAGTTGTATTTTTAGTATATTTTTTTGCAGCATTTAACGAAATTACCACCGCTTTGAAAGCTTTCATTTGGCCGCAATTTTTTGCTTGATAGCTGACGGGTTTTTATAGTTTTAAGTACGGTTTAGGGATTTTGCGATGTCATTCTGCTTTATTTCTCTTCTTTGTTGCGGGCATGGCCATTTGTTGTTGATAACTGCACAATAGCGGAATTAAAAAATGGGGTATTTTAATTGAAATTGATTTTTGGCTTAGTTGGCCGCGTATAAATTTACATAAAACCCGACGAAATGTTACAAATACATTTGGGATACACATACACACACACACACGTTCTGATTCCCTGTAGGAAACGCGCTGTAAGAGTACAAGGTCGCCAGGCATATTTCCGGCAATGTGAGGTAGCTGTATTTTCTTCATACACCGACTCGGTTGTAAGCAGCCAGCAATTTCCTACAGGAAATACATCAGCGCATTTGTRTTGGTGTGGCACCATTTTTATTTCGTGCTTGAATGTGTCATTCGATAAAGCCAATTAATTGGACCACTCAATGTTGGCCATTGTTTGTAGAGTGGGAATTTCGCAAAACATATATTCGGAATGGTTTTTAAATGGCTCGTTGCGTTGTGAGCTCTCTGATTGTGGTTGCCTGCTGGTGACCTGATTGCGATTAAAAAAGTTGGTGCTTTGATATTGACAATTTGAGATTAGCAGCGGCACTGGTTGAATATTGAAAACAAATGCAGTTTATAAATTTTTTCAATTTTTTAAATTTTGAAAAAGTGTGGCTTATAGTTTAAGAGGATTTATTTAAGCTTACTGAAAGAGCAAAATCAAAAAAATATAATACAAGCCTTAATAAATTCCAAGAGTTATTTAAAATAGTTAACGTAGTATGTGTTTCATGATTTCAATTATCAAGTTTTTATGTTGTGTAATTTTTAATTATTACAAGTTCTTAAAATATAAAAAAAAAAAACAAAGTACAAATGTTAACTCTATGTAGATTTAATATGCCTAGTAATTTTTGGTTTAAAAATATCACGCAATTCGGATTTTAACGAGTTTCAGTAATTTTAATTTGATTATCTTTAAATCTCATGCATGCACTCTAGGAAACTCAATAAAAAACATCAAAAAAGTAATAAGTTAGAGATTAACCAAGTATTATATGGGGACAGAATTTTTGTGTAGAAACCTCAAACAAAATATACTGTTATGGTTAGTTTTGTGCRCCATGAAAGTTGTACCAAGTCAATGGASAGGACAAGGCAAATGAAAGTGCGATTTGATCCCTCTACTTTGATAAAAGCTCAGATAATTAGGACTGGTAAGAACGGCGGTCCATTGTGATAAATAAACCCTTTCAAGTTCAGGAACGAAAATACTCTCAAAAATCGAAAACAAGTCGCACACAAGGTTGTGGCGACTGATATCAAATCGGACTATACAAGTATGGTTAGATACGTCGTATGACTGCCGAGATGTTCCAACCTCAATTTTTCAAAAACTGAATAATGGAGGGTTGATGGAAGTTTCKATTTCACTTTTCAACCCATAACTTTCAACTTGAAAACAATTTCTTCTTATTTGAAATTAATGAACGTAGGACGGCAGCTTTTGGAGTTACACATCTTGCTTTCACTGAATCCTCAATGGGTGCTAAGGTGTATGCATTCGATATTCTAAAATAAAGCTAACACAAAAGATCCACGAAATTTTTACTTCAAAATTACTTTTGGTTTCAAAATACGAAACTCGAAAGATCGCGCTCACAATCCAAACCTTTGCTTGCTTTATAACGTTAGGTGGAATTCGCACAGAAATCTCCTATATTAAATGAGGCATCTGTCGCAATGTGTTCCACACTGTGTTCGGTCATACTGCAAAACAAGTCACTCTGCACATGACGGCAGAGGGGTATGGCAGCCTGATATGGTCTCAAACTCCACATTTGACCTGTTAATTCACATACCATGGCGAAACGCTCCTGGAAAGGGCTAAGAGTGATAAGTGTTTCCAGCAAACGCCTAAGTTGCGCTGAGCTAAACTGACTTTGAGAGCGTACAACCTCAAATAGTGCAAAATATGGTTCCCTAGAGGTAAATTCAAGCTCCTTGTCTCAATATATACCTGTAATTGCAGGCTCAAGAAACACCTAAGAAAATGGTCTTAGTTTCATTTGAAATATGTGCTACTTAGCAATCTGCAGACGCTGTAACAAGGCCCTGAGACAATGTACGCTTGCAGGGAACGCATCAACTCCATAACACCCAACTTGTTTCGTGAATTTATAAGGTGCTGGGCATATTATATTCTAATTTACAAGCATTGATTGTGCTTAATGGCTAGCTGCGTGCCAGTTATCTGTTGTTTACTAAAGCTGTTAACATATAACATCGTGCTTTAATTTTTTAAGCTTCAACTGCTATTTTGCCAAATTGTTTAATGTGTTTATAACAATTTTTCATCGATTTCACTACAATTTCGTTATTTTAATACAATTTTTTGTAGCAAA